TCCATATCCTTCGGGAAATGAAGATTTTGGAAAGACGTTTGGCGCGGTAGTTAAACAGGAGGATGGCCACGAAGGCGCTTTGGTACCTTCGATGGAGAACCCCAACAACTGTATGAAACTTGGAGTAAATGTATTGGTTCATATGCTGATGTATAAAAAGTTATTCGATTCGCATTTAAAACCGAAGTACAACATCGTACAGAACCGTTTGAAGCTGCATTTTCATCTATGAGTTTAAAGTTTGAGAAGATCATGAGTTCATGGGCTTCCGTATGCAGTGCGCTTGTGATAGCGATTATTTCCATCTTGACATTACGAACACTATTTCAACCTTCACAACTACCACCAGTCCCGGATCTTATTAAGGTCGCGGGACTTGCAAGGGCTTTTGAACCTCTAATATTCTATTCCGAAAATGGGATTCAACAAATCGGCGATATACAGCAGACTGGTATTGCGGTCTGGGATCTTGGTGAGAGCGTACGCTCAACAAATATGACATCTGCGCCTGTCATTGTTGCGGAACTCGATGAACTGAGTGAAACCCTCAAAACTTTGTCTGTTGAGTTAACCAGATTCTTTGCTAATGTTGACGGAGATGTGGATGGGTAATACTTTCTACTTCTGTTGCTTGAAATCATCTGACATATCTAGTATCTTGATCGTTATGGATTGGGCAAAACGAGAACTTGCTCAACTAAATCATCTGCCGCCATCTCCCCTTAATTCAGCTTTTGATAATATACACACACTTCTTAGCCGAGTAGGAGTTTTCGAAACTCCTACTGGAACGCCGACCAAAATTGGCGTTGTCGCAACGAATATATTCGGCATGTCATCGTCTCAAAGAACACGTCAAACACTTCAAAGAACATTTAACGAGTTCCTATCAGTGCTTGAAGATGCTATTAGTTCCGAGCTCAACCATGCTCTTCATCTCTTTGCCATCTTCGAAAAGATTGATCATCAATTTAAAGCATTATCTCGTAGCGCATCCCGTGAGCTAGATACCCAAGAAATGGACGAAGATAAACTTCTCTCTTCGCTCTGGACCAAACTTCTCGGTCCCTCCTCCAGTACCCTTCACAAATTCGAGAAGAATAAAAAGCTTCTCGCCAATATCCGTTCTAAGACTATTCAAAACAAATCTGTCCTTCTCGATCATAACGGCAAATTGTTAACATTACGAGCAAATCTAGATTATCTAAGGAAGAAGTTAGTCAGTCCGCTCGTAAGGACAAATAGCAGCACCATTCGAGTCGAAGAGCAAATTCAAGGTCTAGAAGATGCGAGCGGATATCTAGGAAAGGTTAGGGAAACGCAAAAGGGGAAGTTGATGGAGATGCTCTATGGTGCAGGAAGTGGGAGCGCAAGGAGAGTAGCAGGAGCAAAGGCGGTGGAGATTGAAGGGAGATGGGAATAATTCTGTTTGATTTCCTTTTCTTTCCTCTCTCTCCTTCTTATCCTTGCGCGGGAGTATAAACGGATGAATGGATGGGACCAATTGTATCAGTGAAGGAGGCTCACTTGCTTACTACTTGCTTTGCTTGCTTGCTACCCGGACGGTGTTTTTGGTGCAGTAACTGGAAGGTAGATAAATGGAAGGGAATCATGGTGTATGGACCAATATCATTGATGGGATTGGATAGGTGGCGTGTTTTCATCGATTGGTTGTTTTTTCTTATCATTTTCGCGGTTGCATCATGGAATGGTGTTTGAGGAATATTCTGTTTTGGTTTAAGGCGTTTTGTGGGGATTGGGATGGATTGGGATGAGGCGGATTTTATAAACTTAGCATGTATTTACAACTCATGTATTCTTCTCTTCTCGTTTTCTTTTGTTTCTCCTTCTGTGGTGCATGGTGGATGGAAGGGGGTCAGATTGGGTTGGGGATATTGAGGGGGTGTTATGGTTGGTTGATTGGACAGGATGGAGCTGGGAGATTAGGTAGGATGAGGCAGCAGGGAATGGGGAACAGGGAAAGGAGGAGTACATAGCTTAGGAATGCGAATCAGGAAATACACTTTATATCTATCTATTCATCTTTGTGGGGATGATTGTTGTGTGAGTAATAATACTCGCAAATGATTTTCCTTGTTGTGAGAGTAACTGAGCAGCGGGGGAGATGGAATGGAATGGAATGAAGGAAGGGGAAGGAGAAGATGATAAGTCAAGAAGTGACAATCCGGATATATATCTGAATCAAAGACAAAGGTATTCATTCGCATTATATTTATCCGTATCCAGTATTAGATGTCTTCTGAGGAAGCGAGGTAACTAAATATCCTATCTGCATACATGTTATCCATGCTCATCCATAGCCCAATACCACATTCGCATTTGCATCCACATCCACAATCAACAACTCAACTCTACTGCGCACTTGACACTTATTTCAACGCTCCTTTTATTTCCTTTTCCCAACATTTGCCTTTCCTCCCAGCTTTCTGATTCCCAGTTCTCGGGATCTAATTCCTGAACGCCAATCGGCCGTGCATCGTATCTGAATCTTCTCCACGCATCTCCTGCTTCAAATTTTGCTTTGTGTTTAATGACGGATCAGGTTTCTCTATCACGGCTTCTTCTTCTTCCTCTACATTTTCTTCTTGTGATTTTTCTGGCTCTGGCTCCTGACTCATTTTTGGTGTGGGTTCTTGGATCATCTGCGTTTGGGAAGATTCGGCACTGTGTAGAGATACACCCGAGTCGGTGTTTTCGCCGCTTGGGGTGTATGTTTCGTTGGTAATCTCGTCGTCGGTCTCGATGTAATCGTTATTGTTCATGTCGTTGGGTTTTAAGAGGGATTTTTGAAAGGGCGCTTCGATGGACCAGTCGGTTATGCACTAGATAGGGGAGGTGGGGATTAGTGAGGGGGGCGGGACTAATAGATGATGGGGAGCGTGAAATTTGAAAGATGGGGAGAACGTACCTTAACATCCAATTCTGGACATCGATATCCGTAGATCTTCCACTTTCTAGCCCAGTATTTCTCGACTTCTTTGCTGAATCTCTGGTGCGCCAAGAAGATTAGTCGACCACTTTACAAATCTTTCTTTTTTCATCTTCGTTCATGGAATAGCAAATAGATGAAAAGCAAAAAGCACATACCTGTTCCACCGCGAACCTCAATACTTCCTTCATGTCCGCTTCTACCTCCTTGATCGTCATAAGAATTCTCTCCTCGCCAAGCCTACTCCTCATACCCACAAAATGTCTCATCACATCCCTTTTCGACCTCATTTCATCAAACATGCCTATCAAAAGCTTACACCACGCGGCTTCCATCTCCACTCTCCCAATAACCGTGGCGCTCTCTTTCTCACTATTCTCTCCCTCCCTTGAATTCCCATTTTCTTTCCCCTTCTTGTCCCTATTCATTCTCAACCATTCATAATAGTTATCCACCTCCAAGCAAAACTCCAGATACCGATCTTTGTACGCCGCGAATTTGAGAAATACAGCGGTGTGGGCGGGATAGCGTGGTGTGATGGCTTCGAGAATGTGGGTGCAGGGGATCGACCAGAGACGTTCCCAGGGACGGTAGACGAGGGTTGGTCGGCCGTAGATAGAGAGGAATTCAAGTGAGAAATCGAGAGTGTGGTATTGGGATTCGAGGATGCGGACACCGGCGGAGATGAGAAATTGTTGGTCGGTTGAGGGGGCGGTAACGGGCGGGTAGAGGGTGGTTGACATTTTTGTGATGGGGTGTTGGTAAGTGGTGGTGAGTATTTTTCTGTATTTGAGAGCTTGCTGGACAAAGAGTAGGTAGGTATGGAGACTTTGATAAAGTTCTCGAGTTTCGAGATGGAGGTAGAAGAATCTTTGAGGAGAGCTTTGTGGTGCGGTTTAAATAGAAACCAGCCTCGTTTGTTCGGTACAGCCATTGGAAGATCGTGAGATTGGATTGGATGGTGGTATTCACTTAAATTCTGTAGAAGCGGAGTAATATATGAAGTGGATTATCTGGTGAGTGTGAGTAAGGTGAAGTGAGGGATTTGAAACCTGAGTGTATAGTGGACATTCACTTACCCTCTTCTTGAGGAGATTGCTGTAGATTCGTGGCGCATTGATATCAAAAGATTCTAGGTACAACTGTCACTTGACAATCATTCACTTCATCTCTCAAATCTTGTCCGGGGACCAAAAAGCAAATGATCCTCATTCATACCCTGCTCATCTTCTCAAATCATAACTCACCTAGCCGTCCATCTATACATATCCAAAAAGTGCAACCACCTTCAACAAGAAACAATGTCCGGATGGCTCAGTGGTACAAGCACATTGGGTCTTTCACATCCCCTCAAACGGGACCTCTGCTTCACGTCCGAAGACTTCGTCTCTTAAAGGATTCAGTTGTGAGTTCGATTAATTCAAGTTGTGCGTACCGTACCGACTGGTTAATCTTTTGGAGTTTTTGGTTATGATATGATTTTGGGGTGTATCCTTTTGGTGGGGCAGGAGAGGGGAGAGAATGACTGTCGTCTGAAGTATTTTGTGGAGCTACTAAAGAGAAGAGTGAAGTAGAAGTGGAGTGAACTTTGGAAAGATACTATGCTTTTGGTGTTATGCTGACTTCTGTGAGAAGTACCAGAGAGATGTGACATAAAGAGTGAGAATGAAATATGTGCAAGCTCAGAAATCTGCTACGTTGAGTAGCCTTTTGAGACTCTATCAATATTGCATAATGCTAACTTGCAATCCTACCAGAGACTGGAGAACCACTTGATAATTCTTCCCAGCTCAACATGCGGTCCATAGTTCTGACCCTTATTGAACTTGACCATGATACAGCGAGGCATCGAATAAGCAGAGGAATTTCCCATATCTGAAATTAGAAATCAAATCATGTGCCATGACCCAATACGGCAAGTGCACTAGTTGTTCTTCCCCAGCTTCAGTAATGGCACTAAACTAGACTCCCTTCTAACCCCCACACCTTTACATCTCCCTAAAATGTCACCCCCACAAACTGTCTTCCAACATCTCAAACTTAAGTCAAGATGGAGTTGAATGATGTTGCGAGTATTACGGGTGAGTAGTTTCATACACTTTCATTGTTTATCAATGCACTAATAATTGATTGTGTACAAGGCAAAATGAATGATCCAGGCCCATCTCCGGAAACCGAAATCGACAATCCATACAGGTATATTCTTGCGACAGAGGAGCCAATATTCTATCGATTTCTCAAGCTTCCTCGAGAGATTCGTGATATGATTTGGGACCACGCTGTCGACCGTAACTCGACTTCTGAGGTTGTCTCTTCCTCGCCTACCTTTTCCAACGCCCCTCTCCTCTCTCAAGTATGCCAAGAATCAAAGCGGCTTGTTTAAGGAGATACTCTACTTTCAGAGATCCAGAAAGATCTGAATGGTCCAAGACGACTCTGCGTCTCTTGAAAATAGACTATGAAGCATGGATCGACTATGAGCGTGACGTACTCCAACTGTCTTACATGTCTTGCCATTGGGCAATGAATGGGAAATACATGTGCAATCTACCTTGTGTTAATCAAGCTTGCAAAGATTTAGTACTTCCAGTCAAAATCCTTGTTAGTATACCATGATTCGGTTCTGTATGAACCGCAAAACCGTTACATACTTGCACTGAACTAATATGATTGTCTAGGGCATTGAAGAACTTACATTATGGGAATTGATGGATGATTTTATTGACATATGGAACAGATTCGCTGAGATCTGCCCACAAGTGACGCATCTGAAAATAATCGAGAGGGGTGAAAAATCAACTGAGCAGGAAATACCTCATAAGCGCTGCCTACAGCGCATGACTATGAATGATTTATGCCCAGGCAGTTCAATGAACCGACTTGCGAAGGAAATGGACGAATTCATTGCTAATCACGGGCCATTGAGTTACGAGGTCGAATTTGCCAAGTTTGCCCCCAACCCGGAGTTAGAGAAGAAGATTGTGAAGCGCAAGAAACAAGGAGAAGAGGAGGCTTTTAATGAAGCCACGCATGGCCCATTAAATCAATTTTAAACGTATATAGGCAGGAAAGAGATGATCAAGAACCGATCAGCGAATGGCGGTGGAAGACACGGTTGTGGAAACCGAGAGAAAGATCACAGTAACAGGCTGCAGAGGAGATTTTAGCTTAGTGAGAACGAGAGGGAGATCTCAAACAGGATTGATCTAAAGACAGAAGGTGTCCCATGTGGTTTATTCTCACAGAAGAAAATAGGAGGATATGGCACTCGTGTGTTCGCTGTGCAAAACAGAATTGAGCAGGATAATATTAGCATTTTAGCTTACATATTAATAACGGCCATATAATCTCATATGATGACTTCAAAATTGGCCTCAACATGTTTCTTCATGTTTCTTCATGGATTGAAGATATTCAGAACGTGAAATTTGAACAGGAATTGTTCGTAGTATAACAACTTATGGATTTCGAAATTGTGGAAAAATGTTTTGTGAATCCGCGAATCTATATACACCCGCAAAAGAAAGAATCCACACTCTTTACTACTTGCACACTCGTGATGACTTCACTCTAGGAAATCTAGAGAAACTCATCACTCGATATCCTATAGATTCTTCACACTCTCACCAAGAATAACCCATCGAACCACCCCCTCTTCCACAAATCCCATCAAGCAACCCATTAATCCCGCCCCAGTAACCTTACCCCGTACATCCCCACCCTATCTCCCAGCACACCACAACTTCTTGCTATATACCCATCGTTCCCCCGCCACATCTTCCACCGTATCCGGATTAAACCAGAATTTCTCGCCATGTGCATGGTATGTTACGCCGCGGAGACCGACGCCCAGTTCTGCTGCGTATGTGCGGTCCTATTATCTGGGTATTAGCGAATTTCGTTTTGAAAATATGTGGGTGGAGTGAGAGAAGAGGATGATGTACCGTATTATCCCCCTTCATTTTCCCCTGCCATAGTTTCTTCGTGCATGTGAAATGCCAGGGTTTCCACTATTGTGTTTGTGAATATTAGCGTTCTCCTCCTGATCTTTCTCGTCCGTTCCAATTTTACTGTCTCCATTCTCTCCTCATCCAGCTATCTCCACCGTCCCTCCTGCTCCATATTTCCTCTCCCAATCATCCTCATACCTCCCCACCCCAAACTCCCAACCCGAAATCCAAAAGGTTAAAACAAGAAAAGAAACTCACAGCCCACTCCTCCCTCTCCCAATCCTTTTCATTCTCCAACGCCTGCCATCTCCAATGTTCATTATACGTCATATTGATCGAGCACGTTTCAATCCCATTATCGATTATCTTCCCTACAAACGGTTTATCGTTATCGAAAGGGAAGGTTGCGTAGTAAACGAGGCATGCTTGAGTAAGGACAGGGAGGAAAGAAAGAAAGGCGAAGAAGAATGAGACGAGGTAGCGCATGCTGGACGTGTTAGACTGTGATTGACCTTCTCCAATCGAATGGTAGAGGAGAACTTACATGCGATAAGTGCGAATTTGAGATCGATCGAAATCAGAGGTCAAGCATCGCACGATATCTTCACATCTATACAACGACCCAAGTTGTAGCCCTCCACGCAAGTCAACAAGATTCTCAAGCCTCTAGTATGGCGAGTGGCAAAACAGAAAGAACCCAACCAAATAAATCAACCACAAGAAGAAAGTTTCATCACCAACCCCTTTCATAAATACAACCTCCCCAATATTCTCCCCTTGAGTAAAGCTGACGAGTCCATACCTCGATTAGTTTATCCAAGCTCTTGGCAACTTCAGCCTGTATAGAGAAGGAAATAATAAGAGATATGTAGTGACGCATTACCTTTTCCGTATTTTTATCCCTTTTTTCATTTTTGGAGGGATATCTGATTGCCCCTAAAAAGAAAAAAAGGGCGTTGTTCGCTTAATATCACAACTCGACAAATTACCTAAAAGAGTAAGGAGGCTGAAACCTCTCATTTGACACAATTTCCTTTTTATTTCAAAGATATAAGAAGATAGTTGACAGTCTGTTAGACTTCCAGCTGTGTGCTACACACGGTATGTAAAATTTATCTGATCGAGATTCCACACTTATCATAACATGTCACGATAGGTCAAATTGCAGTATGGAAAAGGTCTGATATTTGCATTTCGATACTATTTACTTAAGCTGAAGTTATTGCACACCAAAATTGGAAACGCAAATCGAAAAAGTTGCTGTTATCTACGGAAACGTAGGGATTGCTGCAATAGTCAAATGAGTGAATAGTGAACGGGAAAAGAAAATTATCTCTCGCTCTCAAAAAACAATCGGCATGGTTGAAAAATGCCTCGAAGAATGGAGATGTTGAAAATTGAAGTCTGCTTGCCTATGCACTGAGGCTCTCGGAATAGAGTGTAATCTGGGAATCTAAAGATACGACCAGGAACACATCGAGATGTTTAGATCCAGAACATCGACTCTGTAATATCTTGGTGGATATTAATTCTGCCTTGACCTATCGCATTCGTAGACGGGGTTGAAGGATTTCCAGGCTCTGGTGTAGTCCGACCTGTTGGAGGATCATACTGATCTGCGAGATATGCTCTCATGCGAGTGCACAGCAAGTCTGCGTAATATGCAGGCGGACATAGACTCACAGCCTTCGTAGCCCTCCCGAACAAGTGGCACATATTGTGCGTCAGTTCTTCAAGAGAATCGGCTGAAGTAGTGTGAGGAGCCTTCACTTTTTGTGACTTGAATATTTCGTCTTGAATGACAAAATAATGGCAAGGTCTGGCCGTTCCCATCAGACTTTGATGTGGCTGAAGAAAGAAGTCCCAGTTGCGAGATTCGGTAACACCACGATCAACTACAGTTCCGGCGGGACAGTTCGACTTAGAGTCTGCACTATCAGTATCCTTTGGATAAAATCGAGTGTGATGTCGCTTTCCACAAACTATGATTGAGATTCGTGGCAGGCCTTTCTTGGTGTAGTCGGCGGGATACTTCTGACGACAAGCATTTCTGATTTTCGGAAGTTCTTGTTCAAGCAATATATTGTATTGCCCCTCCGATACACCATCTCTATAAATCAGAATATTGTCAGGCAACATTTTGTTCTTTCTCTGCCAGATGTCCAGTTGCCTAATCAACATAGGTTCGAGCTCTGATACCGGCTCTTGACGAGCTTGGCCTTGTAAGCGGCAGATACCGGACCATTGACCCAGGAGCTTATCAGTGCTTGTTACCATGGCAGCAACACTAGGTGCCGAGTCTTTTGATCCTGGGGATGGATGTGTTACGTCAATCCCAACGACCATTGTCTTCCCTTCGTTGATAATCCCAAGCTTGTCGATTGTCTGATTGATACCGCCAGCCTTAAGATTGAATTTCAATGCGACATTACCGAAGTATTGCGGGTCTCCCTTTGCAAACTTGGAGTGTTGTACGCAAACTGTATGTATACCGGCTCTGGTATCTCCAAACCGCTTTATCGTGTTATAAAGCATTACATCATCCACTGGAAGGATGCATAGAAGAAACTTGGGTTTCTTCAGGTTTGAAGATATAGACATCATTCGGAATACTCTTTCAATATCGGCAGATGTAGCTGTTTCGTTCCCATCTATATGCTTAGGGGTAGGCGCGGGTGTACCCATCCAACCTCGGACTCCAATTCCTGCACCTTCAAGGTGGGCCCTAAACTGCCCAACTGTATCGGCCGCTGCGTCGTGGTCCCATCTAGCACCACGTTTGTCGGATTCAACCACCATGTAAGTCCAGTTACCTAGATCTCCGCAAGTGTGGAAACGAGTGTCCCTCATATTCCAAGAACCATCCATGGGTACCTTTGTCATTGGGCGATGTTGTCTGTTCTTGTAATTGATCACGGGTGGTGGCAAAACACGACCTTGAACAGTTATAAGGCTGTTACCAACCTGGACACCAAATTTAGAGAGAAGAGGATTGTCTTTATTGTTCAAGCCCAGGACTTGTTTACCAGAAGTGACAATGGACATGGCGTTAGGCTCTGGTCTTCTGTTTGCGAAATCCAACATCAAACGAGTTTGATCTCCAAGTAGAGACTTCTTCACAATCTGGCCTGGCTTTATGTTACAAACCTCCGCCGGCAGGTAAGATGGGTTGAGGTCGTTGCCAACATTGATTACAGGAAATTTCGGATCCAAAACAATTTTCGGATATTTGGATTTGAAATAATCATACACGGTGATGTATTTGTTGATTGTTACGACTGGCTTGGAAGAACCCTGCTTTGATCCGGGTTTAGATGGAGTTTTGGCTTTCGTTGATGGTTGTTCGGCGGAAATCCAAAACTTGACTTCTTTTGGCCCAGCGCCATATTTAGCAACCTGTGGGGGGTGCTCTTCGGTTCTACCATCACTTGGGCGAGCCAAGTCCCAAATGGTCTTTTCTCGGGGAATGATGATACCGGACTTGGGCTTTTTTGCAGCCAAGTGAGTGACTTCTACTCGCTTTCTCTTTATCTTATCCACAACACTATGGGCATGACCAAGTCTTTGGAAGAAAACACTCAATGACCCACGCTCGAGGAAAACGGAATGAGTGACGTTTACGTTCAACAAAAGTCGACCAGTAGCTGGTCTAACACTCTGATAGAACCCGCGTATAGCCTCCAGTCCATAATTCAGGGTCGTGTAGTTATGCTGGTTGCCAGCTTGAGCTGTGGAGAAGTGTCTATTATTTGCAATAGAAACAGTTCCTTTCTGGCTCTTGGCGAAGAACCCCATCACCGTATTCATGGCCTGGATAGCCTCCTCTCTTTGAACTTCTGATACATTGGCCGCAGAAATGTTGCCTAAGCTTTGGACAAGATCGGGGATAGTGTAAGACGTTGGAGAGCCGATCCGAACCTTATAAATTTGGGCATTTGAAAGTGGATCATCCTCCCCTTCGTTTCGCCAAGGAATGTCGAAAACACGTTCCTCTTTGAAAGGCAATTTGTTCGGTGTGATTATCATGGACGCAAAATCAGTGGCCAGAGGTATGTTTGCAAATTCTGGCAACTCGAGGATGAGATTGAAAAGCTGCTCCCGTTTCTTTTTTTTGTCGTCCATGCTCGGGGATATGGTTACCGGGTAACGACCCAAAGCAAAACTGGGGCTTGTGTTTAATGCAAAATAATTAGCATACAGCTGAACTTTTCGACCATTTTCGCCGTATCCTGGGCGAGTAGGGAATCTTTGGTTGAGCGACATCTTATTCAAGGCATTGATCCCGGATGAGCTCTTATGATAGTCGTCTTCCATTTTCGCGACTTTTGCGTCAGGTGCTTCCGCTGCATAATTAGGATCCCTGCAGAGCGTATTAGATCACTGCTCGGAGTATAATGCAAGCACCTTACCTGAAGATGGATACCGGGCCACCTCGACCTCCACCACGGCCTCCACCACGGCTACCATAAGTACCACGATTTCCACCATCATAACCACCTCCTCGTCCACCACGATCTCCACCTCCTCTTCCACCGCGATCTCCACCACCACGACCACCGCGATCTCCACCTCCTCGTCCACCACGATCTCCACCTCCTCTTCCACCGCGATCTCCGCCTCCTCGTCCACCGCGATCTCCGCCTCCTCGTCCACCACGATCTCCGCCTCCTCGTCCACCACGATCTCCACCTCCTCTTCCACCGCGATCTCCGCCACCGCGATCTCCGCCACCGCGACCACCGCGGCCACGTCCACGTGCAGGGTCAAAAGACATGGTACGACTCAATAGGGTTCTCTCAAAGGAAAAGAGTGTTGAGTGTATCTACGAGTGGGTGTTAGAGAGCAAGTTAAGAAGGCCAGACATAAAAGACTGAGCGATGAAAGTTACGAAGGTGAGTCTTTCCAATCTTGGCATAGCGAAAGTAGAAGATTGTACTATAAGTAGAACATCATGAATTAAGCATGTGCCATTTGGCTACCAAAGCGGGCTTGCTTTGTGAGTGGCAGAAACATGTTGTTTGGTTGAACTGAACTCCAAAGCGTGAAACATAATGTCTTGTGAGCAATAAAGAGATCATGTATTGTGCGTGCCAATGAAGAAGGAAAAAAGTAAATGTGAATTGAAAACTCATATGTGGTAATTGGTTGTGTGCCAAAGATGATTTGTAGCGGTCAAAGTGCTAATCTTGGAAAGCAGAATTGTGCCACGAAAACACAGTCAAGTTATTCCATGATTGGAAGAAATGGATGTTGAAAGAATATGAAGCATACCTCCTGGGAGCTGAACTGAGAAGCTAGACAATCGATCGATAATGAACAATAGTGACAACCGATATGGACTTTTACTTGCGTTGCAGTAAAGACTTTAAAGAAGAATGGGTTAATGGTACGCTTTCTGGTTCCGTTGGCGAGATAAGTAGCAAGAGGAATTCCAAAACAAATGAGTGGTTGGCTTGCTGCAGTAATCGTGTTAGCAGACGCAAAGGGATGCATTATTAAGAGTGATATATGGAGCCTTCTCGCGACTCAGAGAAAAAGCCGAATACAAGCAGGCCTCATACCACCTTTCGATGGCCCGATTCGAACTAAACTGAAGGACGGTTTGATTGCTCAAAGATATAAATAACATTCGGCAACCAAATAGCATCTCAAACAGCTGGCTCTTTCTCCAGTCGCGAGGCTTTGTGAGGAGCAGGATTTTCTAGCTACTTACTTGTTTGTGATCGTCGAGCTTGTAATTAGAACCGAGGGGAACAGGGAAACGCTTGCGATTTCATAAAAATCCAAAATATACAATATAATATATGATATTTCAGATAAGTAAGTGGTATTGAAATAATAAAATATTCGCGTGGTGGAATAGAAAAAGAAGGTTGAGAAGAAAGAAAGAAAGAAAGAAAGAAAGAAAGAAAGAATTTGGAGATGGATAACCTTGGAGGGCAACGTAACTTCAGCTCACAGCCCCCGGCAAGAACGATTGGTGAGGATGCACTCGGATGCAGTACCATCATTTTGACATTTTGTTACCCCACTTTCTCTTTGATAGATGTTGGGCAGAACGATAAAGAGTCAAAAGCGCGTTGTGATTTGTGTAAATCTGCCTCACTCAATAAATATAATGCAACGACATCAAGGTATCTAAATGCTCCTATTCTTTCCTAAAATTCTCAGCTATTATGAGAATATAATTTTGTACTGCCTTTCTCCTCAAATTCGAAAGTTGAAGAGAAATCTCAACAAAAACTCAATTCGTTGCATTCACCAAGTATTCACCAAAGAAGCGGGACAACGATAGTACATAGAAACACAGTGTGGATCTTTTTTGACGCGTAGTCACATGCTTGATTGAAAGGAGGGATCCCGAATTTGTGCCTCCAATTATGTGATTTGTAGCAAATCATCATTATCAGAATAATTGATTGAATGCGATGCGATGGTGATGTGTCAAGCATTCATGTAACCTAACCAAGTATGCTGCCACCCTGCAGCTCTTTGAACCAAGAAAACTTGTTTTAATTCTCTAATTGCGGTAAGGAAACAGCAAACGAAGAAAGAGTCACCTTTTCGTGCAACACAATCTTGCGCAGCCAGCTTAATCAGTGTCAAGATGGAGTAACGATTACCAGCCTTTCTGCACACGGCAGTGAGTTCACAACATCTATGGCTCCAAGGTAAATAAGCACCGCCCATTGATATTGCCATTCACACTGCAGGAGCGGCTAAGATGACCTCTACTGAAATATGGCGTATTGCTTTATAAAATCGAATCATCAGCAGCATTGTAATTCCGTTTAATCGTGAGTATGCCACCCAGACTCTCATATGTCAATATATCAATATGAAACAGTCTACAAAAGGGTGCTTCAATTGGCTGTACGAGAAACCGCCATTCCTTGTTCGAGAATCACTACGCAAGATTGTTTGGATTCAATTCAACGACCGAGAACTGCAACAGTGTAAGACATAATACCGTATGTCGCAACTAAAGGGAGCGTCAGAGCCGCCACACAAAAGAGCAATCGTTGCATTGGTCCCTCCATATATTGCCACTACCCCGGACTACGGGGTATAGAGTTGGGCGATGAGAATGCCATGCACATCTGTGGCTTTCTTGGCTAGTTGCTATGGCGAATCAAAGGAGCTTATGGATGTTGGATGAATCATAGGCATACCATCAACAAAGAAGTCAATTTATTGACAATAACTTCAATTATTAGCCTCATGACTTTCTCATACTCATAAAGTGAGTTAGTCAGTTGATGATGTTGCAATTATTCTCAGCTTCTCTGCCGAGCAGGCATGTGTCGCTGCTTCCTTATTGAGATTTAAGTTGTCTCGTTGAATTTGCTAGGCACACTTGATTGCCATCAATTCCATCGACCATCCAAGGGAAACATAACCTGAGGTGTCAAAATCAATACCATCAATCCAAACAAAATCAAAGTCAAAGGCAAGCCTATCATGGATGAGCTTAAAAACGAGATTGATATACACAACGCGTCGGAGTCGCTTTCCCAAAACAACACACCAGAGGAATCTGCACCAGGGAACATACCTCTGCAGAAAGAACCAACTTCAAGTCCCGACGAACTCGATGGTGAAGAGGCAGTTTACCCCCATGGCTTGAAATTGGTCGTCATTCTTGCCGCGCTCTGCCTCGCAGTCTTCCTAGTAGCTCTAGATCAGACCATTATCGCAACTGCCATCCCGAAAATAACAGACCAGTTCAATAGCATACAAGATATTGGATGGTACGGCAGTGCATACCTGTTGACGACCACGGCTCTACAGCCGACTTTTGGTAGGATATATACTATATTCAGTGTAAGCAAGATAGCATATACTTCTCATTGTACGGCGCGAGGCTCATGAAATAACACAGATCAAAATTACCTTCATCGTGGCTATTGTCATTTTCGAAATCGGGTAATGTCATAGCATGACTATGTAAATGCGCATATGTATTAATAAATAAAATAGTTCCTTGGTTTGCGCCACTGCGCCGAATAGTACTGCATTGATTATAGGTAGAGCTGTTGCTGGTATAGGTGTCGGTGGTTTGTTCTCGGGAGCGATTGTTATTTTGGCATATTGCTGTAAGTGCAAGGTTTTTGGACTCAGTGGCCATATGGAATGACTTCAACCGACTTCGTTCACTTTTAGTTCATTGGCCTTTTTTAATAATGCTGACTTAATAAACAGTACCCCTGCGAAAACGACCGGCTGCTTTTGGTCTGATGTGAGTGAAAGCGTTTTTGTAGGAAAGAACTTGTAGCAATTTAAATGGTTTTTGCATGATTACTGACAAGATGCAAACTCAGCGGAGGAATGTGGGGGATTGCTTCGGTCGTCGGCCCATTACTTGGAGGTGTCTTTGTAAGTTCAGTTTGACACTTCACGAGAGCAGATACTGATCAAAATAGACCGACAAAGTATCTTGGCGTTGGTGCTTTTACATCAATCTACCTATAGGCGCCATCGCTATTGCTGTAATAGTGGTCTATCTCAAAATCCACCGCGCCAACAATCCTGAGAACCTCACCATTCTTGCTCGTGTAATGAAGCTCGATCTCATCGGTACTATCATTATCATCCCAGCTGTCGTCTGCCTTCTACTCGCTCTCCAATGGGGTGGTACGACATACCCATGGAGTTCTGCTAAGATCATCGGTCGTCTTGTTGGCTCTATCTTGCTATTCATCTTGTTCATCATCTCGCAAATCGTTCTTGGCGACAAAGGTATTCTGCCTCCTCGCTTCTTCAAAACCCGTAATACACTACTCGCATATGTCTTCGCGTTTCTCTTCGGTGCAGGCTTTTTTGCTTTGATCTTCTACCTGGCAATCTATTTTCAGTCCGTCAAGGGTTCTTCTGCTACTAGGGCTGGCATCGAACTCCTTCCCCTCTTGATATCCACTGTTCTGTCCTCCATAGTGACTGGAGGCCTTATTACTGTAATCGGATATTACACTCCCGTGATGATTTTCTGTATGATACTGTTCGCTATCGGTTCTGGTCTCATCACTACCTTCTCTCTTACCACACCCTTTGCCTCTTGGTTCGGCTTCCAAATCATAACCGGTATTGGAATTGGCGTTGGATTTCAGGGTGGTGTCCTAGTAGTCCAGACCGTTGTCCCACTATTTGACGTTCCAGTCGGGACAGCCTGTGTCTCATTCTTCCAATCCCTGGGCGGCGCCCTCTTTATATCTGTCTGTCAAACTCTCTTTCAAAATGGTCTAAAATCTGGAATAGAAAAGTATGCTCCACAACTTGATCCTCAGCTATTCTTGCACAGCGGAGCAACAGAAATTCAGCAATTACTAGCACAATTGAATCAAGAAGAAGCGATAGGTGCTGTGCGACAAGCTTATGTGGAAGGCCTTACGCGTTGTTATTGGGTGACTACTGCATGTGCTATTGGTAGTTTCCTGGCGGCATGTGGACTGGATTGGAAGAGTGTGAAAAAAGGACATGGACAAGAAAAAGAGATAGAAAAGAGAAAGGAACAGAAGAGCAAAATTGCAAACGGTGGAGAGATGGCGCTGTAAGATATGAATAAGTTGCGTGCACTTGTCAGTTCAGAACTTGCCACACACTCTTAAATATTGTATAACTAGTAGAGCATTCACTCGATCTATCATTAAACTTAGAGCTCTTCTACTATAGCACCATCAGTCAAGTTCTTACAAACAATTGATTTCCAGACCCAAGTTGAACATTCAATAAATTACAAAACGTCAAGCCGCAGGGGACTATTTTATATCAAAGTGAAGTCAGACATTGATGTGCACTTTCGAATATTGAGCCAGGGATATTGAATCCAACCGATAACCCAAATCATGCATACATCCAAATACGAGAATATATTAAAGATCATCCCATACCTAGGTATCGCAGGAAAAACACAATTAAACCGAACAAACCGAAACTCCATCAAATTTCCAGAACTCAATGCTCGTTTGCGCACACACCACCCCCCAATTTTTCAGCATGATGCTCAAGCCCCTCCTATTGGCGCGATAATCCTCTCCCGCTCCCCGCAAATCCAAACCATTTTACCGGCATTTTTCTCCAGCTTCTTAAAGTCCCTGGTCTAGGATAACCCCAGACTCTAGATTATATTATGGAGGGTTGAATTCCCCCACAAACCTCACCTGGTGTTGTTTAAGTATCGTACGGAGTAGATATCATCTCAAGCTGCGAGAGAGATCATCACAAAATTCAACACCAGAAACAAGATAAATCAAGCCCCCATATTTTGGTTAAGTTCTACTTATCTATTTAAGGTTTGTAGTGACACCGCGCATTGCACCTAATCCAAGATATTAATGCCTATCTAAGCTTCCAATCTCCATCCGCCATTCCGGTACCTGACTGGAAAATCGATCGTCCAAATCCTAATCCTACTTGACATCTCATAAACTATACACCTAGGCTCAAATTAGTAATAAACAAGCTCTCACAGAGATTGACAGCGTAAGTATTGTAAAACATACTAAAAAGCGATCGAGCTCTTCTTTATATATAGAGGCTTAATTAATAAAAACCTTATATTCTTTAAAATTAGTATAGTGATTCCAGATGGTAAAAGTATTGTAAAGAATTTCTTGATAATGAAAAAAAGTATTAATTTTATTAATATTAATAATTATCTAATATTATCTTTATATTTCTCAATAAACGAATTAAATATTTTGTATAATACAATTTTCTATATCTTATTAATAATAGTTTTAAATTATTATAGTTTATTTTGTTATATAGATAATAATCTCAAATCTAATCTTTTATTTTATTTTATATATTTTCAATAGATTGAGATTTAGATTAAATACTAGCTATTTGACTTTTTCAATATTTCTTTTAATAAAATCTATAAAAGTAATATTAGTAATATATTTAAAGCTTTATTCTATATATACATATTCAATTATTAATAATAAGTATAATATGAGTTTGATATAATTTAATATTAATAATATCTCAATCTTTTTTTCAAAATAAGTTTAGTTTTTTGCTTATTTTTCCTGAAAAATAGTTTTAGAATTTTTATTCAGTTTTTCTTGTACTTTTTTTTCAATATATAAATAGAATTAAAAGTTTAAAAGCTTTATTTTCTAATATATAATATATATTTTACAATAAGATTTTACTATTATTTATATTTCATTTAATTATAGAATAGTATTCTATTATTTGTTAATCCAATTAAGATATTCTAAATACAAATTAGAAGCAAGTTAGATAATTGTTTTCTGAAATAGAAACGCTTTCGAAGAATAATGTAATACTTATTGTCTACCTCTTTTTAGTTTAATTTCGAATTATAGATTTACTTATTTCATTTATTCTAATTCAAGAATCACTTCTCAATATAGTATTTGTCTATATATTTTTGAAAAACTAATAAATTCGATAATTTGATTAAATTAGAAGATTAATAAATTAATAGCTGTTTAGATTGTTTTTTAGATATTTTATATATAGAATATATATAAGGTTATTTGCTTATAGGTTAGATTAATATTATTTTAAAGAAATTATTTTTATATTTTTATAGTTTTCTATTTAGTTTTATAAAGAATATATTATTTCAATGTACTAATGTATTAATTCTTTTATATTAAATTGAAGTTTTTAATATTAATAATATAAAAGGAAGCAAAGTAGATTTAGTAACTAATAAATTAATATCAAAACTAGTAATAATGATATATAATTAATTATTTTAATAATATCACTATATAAATTTTAATGAATTTCGAATTAGAATATTATAACTATCAAGAAGATTCTTACGAAATTCCCAAAGATATTTAGAAGTATTAATTCTAATTGAATTTATTAAAACAATACAAAAGAGAATAATTCAATCTATTAAAACTCTTGAATTCCCCCTTATAGGGGGATGTGGGGCACATTAATGCCTTACACGACTTACGCTGTCAACCTCTGTAAGCTTCCCATCTCCATCCGCCATTCCGGTACCTGACTGGAAAATCGTTCGTCTGAATCCTGGTCCTACTTGGCATCCCATAACCCATACACCTAGGCTCAAACTAGCAGCAAACAAGCTCTTACATGCAAGCTTTCCAGACAAGGGTGTTTATCTACAGGCAAAAGAGAAACCCAAGACTTCCAATCTCAAATGATACCACCGGTAATGGCGGAGACTCGTATATGTGCAAGTCGGTGAGAGGGGAAACAATGAACGTAGCCCTGGGTCATGAATTATTCCGAAGTATCGGCAAGCTGTAATCCACCCATGGATGAAGTTCTCCATCAAAGCTTGGATTCGTATTTAAACTATAAAGCACCCTTCTCGGCCTTCTTCCACTCGCACCTTTTTTGCTCAAGTCCAATTGTCTCTTCTGTTTTCAATTGACCGCCAAAAGAAGTCTTTACAATGGTTCGCCCATTATTATTTCTTGCTTCTCTGCTTCCAATTGTCACAGCAAGCTGGAGTATCAATAACGAGGCGGATAGACATGCTTGTCAAAAACACTCAAAAAATCCGTTGGAAGGTTGTGATTTGCAAAAGACGAAATATGTAGATTTCACCGGCGATAATTCGAGTTTCAAGACAGTGCAGTCTGGTATGTAGTTGGAATCCTGATAAGATCTTGAGTGAGAAGTGGTAGGGCCAAATTGAGGCTAATCATGAATGATTGTAGCTGTGGCAAGTTTGCCAAATAATACTGATACATATGTTATCCTTATTGCATCCGGAAACTATACAGAGCAGGTGAGAATTCTGTTTGAACATTTCTTGGACCCAACCTCTTCATATGCTAACATCGAATTGTAGGTCAACGTCACTCGTCGTGGTCCCACATATCTGCTCGGACAAACCGAAAATCCTCAAAACCAATCTGCGAACACCGTCAATATTATCTGGAAGGCGGTTGCTGGTACTGGGGATAATGCTTACACATCCACTTTGACCGTTGCACCGAATCTCAATGCATCATTGACTGGAAGTGGAGCGACTGGATTTGCTGTCCCACCAGGAACACCATTTGGATGCACGGATTTTAGAACATACAATCTGAATCTCATCAATGATTTCATGCCATACAGTGAGTTGCTACATTTCGCAGGGGAGAAGAAAGAGAGGGTTAAAAAATAACTGGAAGGAAGGGAGGAACCAGAAAGAAAACTTTCTCTAACAAAGTAATAGCTGATGGACCTTCCCTTGCATTGAGCATAAGTTATGCAAACGGTGGCTTCTACTACACCGGCTTCTATAGCTACCAAGATACTGTATGTCCATCTACCTGCTCATCACCCTCCCCATTCCTTCAAACTAACACATCCAAGGTTTACGTAGGAAAACTATCCAACTCCTACATGTCTCAATCTGTTGTCGCCGGTCAGACCGATTTCTTCTACGGCTTCGGAACTCTCTGGGTCACTAACACACAAATCTTACTTCGATCGTGGTATGTATATCTAAATCCGCCTTGAAACAAGAAGCTGACCTCTCTCAGTGGTGGAGGAATTACTGCGTGGAAAGGAACCAACACAACTTTCGAGAACAAATATGGAGTGTATATTGTAGATTCAACTGTACAGAAAGCAAATAGCAGCTTAAGCATCCAAGGAAAATGTCCACTTGGTAGACCTTGGGTACGTTTTCCCCACAATCTGAACCCTCTACCAAGAAGCAAGCTAACCATAATTCGACAGAATGCACAAATGCGATCTATCTTCGCCCGTACCTACCTCGACGATTCGATTCTCCCCGCAGGTTTTATCGACTGGTCTCCTGCCCGCTACAATGCCAACAATGGTAACTACAGCACCACCCAAGCTGAATACAAGAATTATGGCCCGGGATACAATGCAACTGCACGAGCCCTTGCGTTGTTCGATGTCCAATACAATGACAGCCAGTGGGCTCCTTACAGTAGTCCAGCGAAAGTTTTCCAGGATCCTGAAGGAAAATTCGGGGATGTGAGCTGGGTAGATTTCAACGTTTAGTTTAATTGGCCAGGAGAGAGATCGAGTTACATGATGGAAGTATATGTAATGTTAAGTAAAGAATTGTCGATTTAATAAAAGCTGTTTCTGTAGAGTATGGAGGTATATTTTATGATCCAACTGTTGGTTGCTTGCTCACCCTTACTTAGCACCGCTAAGTGGCATAACTACCAGAAAAATATCAGAATCTCGATTGAGATCTAAAAATCAATCGGATTCGGAAGTTTCGAGATAATTCAAGAGAACTGAAGATTCAGAAGTATTTATAGTTGTGGACTCATCAGAGCTAAGATAATAAGTTTGAGATAATTTATTCTTTACCATAGGTAGTATGACGCCCATGACTAAGCAGTGCCTTCCCATCCCATATCAGCAGGAAACCTAAGCTTAAGATACCACTAGCGCCACAAAAGCACTCTACGCGACCCTCGATAATCAAATCGCGTTTCCTCGAACAAACAAAGTTATTAAATAAGAGTTTACAGTCCCAATTCACCATCGTTCAACAATTTGCCAAGACAACAACAAAAATCTCAAAATGGCTTCTCACAAAGATGTTGCAGATGAAAATCCTCCTCAAATCAATCCATACGAAGTTCTTGCTATTGAGAAAACCGCTTCTGAAGATGAGATCAAGCGCGCATATCGCAAAAGTGCCTTGAAGCACCATCCAGGTATGTTTTAACAATAATTGACGCGGTTCTATACTACAAACGCATAATTCGTATGAGCTTCTCTATTGGGGCTGTCATCATCAAGATAGTTCCATAGGACCACTACATAAAGTCCATCCAGACAACTAACAACCTTCCAGACAAAGCTCCAGAACATCTCAAATCTGATTCGCACATCAAATTCCAAGAAATTGCTTTTGCATATGCTGTTCTCTCCAATCCAAACCGTCGCAAACGCTATGATCGTACTGGATCTACCTCTGAGTCTGTCGATACTGATGGATTTTCCTGGACCGAGTTTTATTCCGAGCAATACAAAGATGTTGTTACTTCTGATGCCATTAATCAATTCGCCAATGTTTACAAAGGTTCCGATGAGGAGAAAGATGATCTGCTGGCAGCTTATACCAAATACGAAGGAAAATGGGGAAAGATGTATCAAGTCATCATGTTAAGTGATCCGGTCGATGATGAAGAACGATTCCGCGAGATCATAGAGGAAGCAATCAAAACTGGAGAAGTCAAGGAATATGCTGTCTTTAGGAAGGAAACTAAGGCTTCGAAGGATAATAGAATGAAGAAGGCGAGAGCGGAGGAGAAAGAAGCTGCGAAGGCTGCCAAACGAATGGGTGTTGATAAATTGTTGAAGGGATCTGGTGGGGATGTAGCAGAACAAAGTAAGAAGCCAAAGAAAAATGTCCCTGGTCACATGGATGACCTAGCGGCTATTATTCAGGCCAGACAGTCTTCAAGGGGTGGCTTCTTTGATAACTTGGAGGCAAAATATGGCGGAAGCAAGTCGGCAAAGGGCCCTGGTGAGCTGAGTGAAGAGGAGTTTCAAAGAATTCGAAACGGTTTAGGCAAGAGCAAAGATAAAGCCAAGGGCAAGGGGAAGAAAAGAGCAGCTGACTCGGAGGATGAAGTTGAGGAAGATGCAAAACCGGCACCGAAGAAGAAGTCATCAAGAGGCAAGAAGAGAGAACCCGAGGTGGAGCAAGAAGATGAAGATGAAGATGAAGATGTAGAAATGGACGACGTTGGTGATGATTTTCAAGCAGAAGAAGCTGAGGAAGACGAGGAAGAGGTCGAGCCTGAGCCTGAGTCCAAGAAGTCAGCTTCTAAGAAGGGAACAAAGAAGCAACCAACTCGGCAATCCAAGCGCGGTAAAACTACTCGGGCATGATTTTATGAATATGGAAATGGAGTTTGCGAGGATTTGATCTTTTCATATATAGCCGGATGGATACAGCATGCATAGAAGAAGGCGTTAATAACTACAATGATTTTTTAATGCGAAGATTTACCCATTTACTTTTACAGAATTACAACTCCATGAATGTCTATGCACTTGATATGAGTCTTTTATACATATTCTATTCCATCATAAAGTGCAACTTGAGGTCGAATTGATCGAGCATCCTGCTCTACTAATTGCTTGTTACAATCTTTGATAATTGAAGAATGTTCTACTTGTTTGGGGATATCGCTCACATCTGAACTATACCTCCTCTCGTAGGTCTCTGAGGTCTAAACTTAATACTGTCCGTCATTCACACGTGACACAACCTTCCCACGCGTCAACCTCGCGATTTCCATCTCCACTTTCGCCTCTCACCTCGGTCGGTCCATTGATCAAAACACCAAAACATTTCACACGAGACTCGATCGCAAAGAATAAAACAAATAACAATCAACAACCTTCCCACCCGTCACTATTCAACACAAACCCTAGATATCAATCGCATACAACCATTCCCTCATTTCCGCATCGCACAATGCTCCAAAAAATGTCATGACATCCTCCTCATCCACATCTGCCGTCGCGCCTCTCTTACCACCATATCTGTATGATCTCTCGCCTACCATCCATAAATGGTGTGCGTTGCGCTGTGCAGATATCATTTCATTGACTACTCGGGGGGTATATTTCGAAGGTTTGTTTATTTCTTTATTTGTTTCTTTCTTTCTTCATCTTTCTGTAACGTTTCTCGATTTCCGATTCTCCATCTTCCTACCTCTCGTGGACCGGAGTTCGTCAGGATAAATCACACAATAGCGCTATGATATCAAGAGAATAATCAGCTAATTTCTTCCCCCAAAACCCAAAGATAAACTGATCCACCACTACCTCAACCATCCCATCCGCTACGTAAAACTCATCGGGCTCGTCGTCTCCATCGATACTTTTGCCCGTCGTCGCGTCTACACTATCGATGACTCGAGCGGTGTGTGTATAGAATGCGTGGCACTCTTACCTCTCCCTTCCTCGGAAGCTGCTTCAAATTCGAATTCAAACTCAAAGTGCCATCCTCCTCCCAGTAGCAGCCCCTCCATCAGCACCCCCCAAATCCCCTGGAACGACATCACCGAATGCAAAGTCGTGCGCATCCTGGGGATTGTGGGATCATACATGCAGGTTCCGCAATTGCAGATTGTGAAGATGGGGATCGTGGGGAGTACGGAGGTGGAGAGGAAGTGGTGGGATGAGTGTCGAGAACTCAAGGATCCGGAGAGGGGGATTCTGGGAAGGGAGTGGGTGGTGGGGAGGGAGGAGATGGAGAGGTGGAAGAGGAGGGAGAGGAAGAGGAAGGCGAGGGAGGAGGAGAAGAGGAGTGGGGGGAGAGATGGTCGGGCGGCCAAGATGAAGAGTGGGAATGGGAGTGGGAGTGGAAGAAGAGAGGATACCGAGAGAGTTGAAGAGAAGCGAGAGCTACTGGCGAGGAAAAAGATAACAAATCCCCAACCACGTTCTTCAACCAATCCCTCTCATTCCACATCCACATCCACATCCAACCCCCACCCCTCCCGTCCTCCCCACGAAACCTCCCCCAAAAAACCTCTCCCCCGCCCGCCCATCAAAAAAGATTCATCCCCACGATCCTCCCGACCTATCCAACTACGATACTTTTGGTTACTAACACAACCTCCCTCTATCCTATAAAGAAAATCCCTTTCAGGAAAATAAAACACGTGAAAGAAATCCCGAACCGCGCATTCCGATGAATAGGTAATTAAACGTGATTTGTTTGTTTACCTCACTTGGGTTATCATGAATATCCACATCCATATCCACATCCATATCCACGATACAAACCACGAAATATGAAATAATGTCTATACAATCCGCGACAAGAAACACGAGAAATAAGATATCAGAAGTGACATCACCTCACATCCTCACAACCTCACATCCTCACAACCTCACATCCTCACAACCTCACATCCTCACAACCTCACATCCTCACATCCTCACAGCCTCTAGCCGCATAGCCTTCCTTCATCCATCGAAGGGGCTTTAGCGAAGAAATCACATCACAATTAGAAAGCAAGATAGATGGAGGAAGGAGTCTGTCAGGATGAATGAAGATGGATACGATGATGTTGAAGAAAGAACATGAGGATATGAAGGATAGATACAATTAATACACTATTCCTTCGGTGAAGATTGTGGATTTGTCCAGGGAGATGAAGGAGAAGAAGAAGAAGAAGGAGGAGGAAGAGGTGATGACAGAGGGATAAGTGAGACATGCACGTATTGTATAAATTGGAAACTCTCTGATGGCGCAATGGATTGTATATTTCAAGTCACATATTTACATACACACATACCCATGCCTGTTCCCCTAAAACTTCATTGAGCTCAACGTATTGTATTACTCGTAAAGTATCTATCATACACAGAGGTAATGGCTTCGCAGCTCCGAGCTATTGTTACAGTACATCCACTGCTCATCCCAGCAACCCTATCATAAAAGCCTTCCCCAAGTCCCATTTTTTTTTATTAGTAAAACAAAGCAATGTTAAAATGTGCCGCCTTCTCTATCTCTCCACCCTATGGATTCTCGATATCTACCTTTCATATCCAGCGCTAAAACGCCATTACCATAATTGATACAATCAATGCCAACCAACACACGCCATACATCACAATTCCGGATTAATATCCTGCCAAAGCCTTCACTGATCTGACGACAGTTCCTCCAATTTCACCTGCTCCAGCAGACTCATCTGGGTATACCAAAAATGCGAGAGCAATAATAATATAGAGACCAAGAAGCTATGTAAATATTAGTAAAATTGAAACGTGATTTCGATTCCAATCAAAACTTACCATGCAACCTTCCAAATAATTACTCTTGCCATCTTGAACCACATAGGTAACAACCAAAACACTCAAGAAGAAAACAACGGTTTCAAAGGTCTCGAAATGTAAAGTCATAGGTTTATCAATGATCCAACCCAAGATCACAAGGAATGGAGTGACGAAAAGTGCGATTTGCATGCTCGATCCGATGGCAACACCCATTGCTAGATCCATCTTGTCCTTGACGGCAACCACAATAGCTGTAACATGCTCTGCTGCATTACCGACAATTGGAAGAAGAATAAGACCAACGAAAGTTTTGGAGATGTGAGCTTTCTCAACAATCGAGTCAATCGAATCAACCAAGTAATCAGCACAGACAGATACCGCGATCGTTACAATAACGAGAACAGCAGCAGCAGCCCATGGACTCATTTGTGGTACTTCCTCCTCCTCTCCTGCTGATTGACTTTCGGCATCAAATAGGTTGGAATGTGTTCGAAGCTGGAAGAACAAATAAAGACAGTAGAGAATTAATAGAATGATGGCTGTTCCGTGAGAGAGAATCAAAATGTTGGTTTCAGTGTCTGCTGATGATTTACTGAGAAACAGAATAGAGCTTGCTAAGAGTTAGATTTTGTTGCAGTGATGTTGGATTTCAGCTTACAGTGGCAGGTATAATCAATGCGCATGCGGCAAGAACCATGAGAGATGACATTGTTCCGGCGACAGTATCGTTAAATCTCTGCTCGATGCCCATAGATGTACCAGTGCGAGTGTTGTGAATTCCACCAGCAATAAAGCAGCATCCCAACACAAGAAGGGAGTTCGATAAGATACTACCCAACATACTCGATTGAACGATTCGAATTTGTCCTTCTTTCAATGCTATGATACTGACCTGCAAGGTTCGATATTAGTAAGTGAAAAGTAAGATGTGACACCTGAACCTACAATGAGTTCCACAGCGTTGCCAAATGTTGCGTTCAGTAAACCTCCCAAAGTTTCTCCCAACTTCATGGAGATTTCTCTGTCGCAAAACGAGAGGATGGAAGCCAATGGGATGATAGCGAAGAAGTTGAGTGTGAAGATGACGACCGGATCCCAGTGTGTGAGGCCTGCAACGATACCCAGTGGTACAAAGATCAACAGAACGTTAACATAGCTACTATACAAAGTAACTTTTCCTACATGCCATGCCGACGCCGAGTAGCTAACCATGACATTGTCGCTGTCGGTTCCTGGTGTATGTCTCTTGCTGAGAAAGAATTCATGAACACTGCTCTTACGTCTGTCTCCGGCATGTCCGTTGACGCCCAACAGACGCGAGGTTTCGTCCACTCCGTTTGACATATTTCCTGAGTTGATTCGATTGTTTGGTGATGGAAGGGATCTTACACGCGCGAGTTCCCTTCGGTATTTAGGTTGTGCTACATGTCAAAGAAGATATAAAGTCAGCCCAGCCACTCCGTATGTATATTCGATATTGAAATTGCAATGCGCCGCAGCCAACTTAAGCTTCGAAGAAGTCCCTTGGCAATTCGCTGGCAGATTGACAGGTGGGCCAAAGATACAACCAAATTAAGAAAAAAGGATTTAGGTATCGACACGAGGCAAAGGAGTATTACTTGGCTTCAAGCGTTTAAGTCTTTTGATCTGAGCAATTGACCTGCGATGGAGACGACACCAAGGTTATATTGGGCTGTGTGATACCATTCAAGTATGGAGCGCGAACGAGAAATATAACAAAGGGCTTGGATCAAAGACCCGACTGCAGGTGCCTGTATCAACTTCTTACTTGTAATATGAGATTGGCGAGTCGATAAACCATCGAACTCTCAAAGAGGAAATAATCTTGTAAATTGAATTTCGGAGATGAATATCTTCCAAAAGAGCGCACAAAGGAAAGGAGGAGGGGAGGATAATTTGTTTACTTACAAACCATCTTGGCAAAATTCTCTCTTTTTTTTTTTTTTTTTCGCAAACCACACAGAGAATGTCAATGCCTATATGAAAGAAAAATTTAGAATTTTGGGGGGGAAACAAGTAGTACGAAAAGGGTAATTGGTTAAATGGGAAGGACAATAATGGATTTGGATTGGGATCATGAACGTTGGTTGTGCGCGTGGTTATCGAAACTCGGGCACACTTTTTCGTCGCTTTAGCTTTGCCGGTGCGGGCAGCGGGAAGAAAAGGTTCCCAGAGCTTTTTGCCAGGTGCTGCGCCTCCTTTTGAGTGGAGGAGGTTTGATCACAACTTCTGGGTACAGGCGAGACTGGTGGTAGGTCCCGAGATGATAGTCCCTTGTTGATGACGATGATGAGGAGGATGGATGGATGCACGTTGTAACTTGTTGTTGATCAAACGCCGACCGCAATGTGATGAAAGTATGGAGTACAAGCGTTTCAAGAGAATTATGGATGTTTGCTCTGGAGGATGAAACCGAAGAAGCGCGTCACGACCAAGTAGAGGAAAGTAGAGTGGAGAGGTGGAGAGGTGGAGCGAAAGAGGAGAGGAGAGGAGAGGAGAGGAGAGGAGAGAAGAGAAAGAGAAAGAGAAAGAGAAAGAGAAAGAGAGAAAGAAGAAAAGACACGATGTAATCAATCAATCAATCAATGTACGAGAAAACAGAAGAGAGAGGATATGGAATTGGATATGGAATTGGATGTGGAATTGGAATTGGAGTAACAAACGATAATTGCAAAGGATGAATCCTCTTACCTAGGTAGGTATGTAGGTATTTTGAGTTTCTAAGAAGCAAGTAAGTAAAGTAAGTAAGTACCTGTGTAGATGAGATGTGTGGATACCAGTATGTGGAATGTATGTATGTAGGTGTGTATGTATGTATGTATGTATGTATGTATGCAGGTATGCAGGTATGTATGTTTGTATGTAGGTACTAGGTAGGTAGGTATGACTTTTATCAATTTTGAAGGAACGAGGGAACGAAGAGAGATAGATGCAAATGGGAATGGAGCTTCAGCTTATTGTCGTGAATGTCGTGAAAGCATGGTGATTGTGTAGCACTGTACGGGGACTGCCTTTTCCAGAAGTTGCCTGTGCCAAGATTTATATCCAAACTTTATTTTGCCAAGGAAAGAGAGCTCCTGCTGATGATAAATGGACTTTTTCCTTGATCCTCATTCAGTGGTACGAAAGAATCCGGACTAGATCGATGGCTCGAGGATTGGTGACGGTGATGGTTGATGTTGGTCAGTGGTGAGAGGGTTTGTGTGTTGGGACCGTGTGTGATATACGAATCATAATCTGTATAAGAGGGTCGTAGGTACTAGGTAGGTTTATATCAAGTTATCAACATACTAGGTAGCCACCGTACTAATCAATAAAAATTCGTATAATCAATTCATCCATCACTTCCCAGGTATCCAATCAACGCATCTCCATATCCTTCATCCATCATCACATCTGCATACCAAGAACCAGATGATCCCAACCGTCAAATACCGACGACAACAGATCCCATCCCAGAGGTACAGCACCAACAGAAACCTAACAAACCACGCACTTCACCAATTCCAGGTAGAAGCTATGACCAACCTCCATCACCATCTGACAGTGACTATCAATCACTCGAGCCAATTCGACAAGCATCATCAACATCATCATCATCTCGCATGCCGACTAGGTACTTTTGACTATTGCAGATGATTGGTGGGTGGAGTGATGTTTAATTATCAATGGAATTGGGAATCTCCTCCGAGGGATATACATCAGCCAGACACGAGAACGACAGTACTGTAATACTTTGCAAGTTACGAGGTACAGAAGAGGTACCAGATATCTAATATTGAACATCTACCCGTCGTTTGTGAATAATAATAATAATATAGATAACCAACAAACAAACAAGCTTCGATATTTGTAACCTCCCTAGGCATTCCAAATGCGCATATACATTGTAACACAACATAACATTACCTCGAGATTACCTCACAACCTCTCACCCATAAATGGATTACACCAAAACCTGCACAGCCCCCTCACAAGATATCCGACCCTCTCCAGCTCCTCTATCCCTCCACCCAAACCCATCTAATTCGTCAATTGATAAAAAGTGGCTTAAAAGTTGATACACACCTACTTTCTGTGACCAGCTGGCATCCTGAATCAATCGCATGTGCTTGCTTGCTTCTCTAGTATTTATCCGAAGCTTTCCTGGAGTGATACCGATACCGATACATACCTGCCTATCTCTCCTCTCCCAATATCTACTTGCCTGTGATAGGTAAGGTAAAACTTCACAATTTCACAAAACCCATTCATGGAATGAGGCATTTAATTTACTCGTTCACACCGTCACACGAGTTGCCAATCCATCTATCCATTCATCTATCCATCTATCCATACCTAGATACCATATAAACATGAATAACCACACACAAACACAACAAACACAACACACACAACACCACACTCCCACAAATTATCCATCCCGATTCCATTCCCGAGCACTTTCCACCCATCCCTCCCTACAAATTCGCACGTTTCGCCAATTTTCTCAGCGCCCCTTTTTCTTTTTCGCGCTTGCAATAATAATATAATTCTTCTCATCTCATCTCATCGTAAGTAAGTAAATAAATAAGTACTTAAGTATCCCCCACGATATCTTCTACGAGCGAATACATATTCGACATATTCTGCATGTAATATCTATCTTATCACTACTAGATATGCAATCTATCCCGTTATTTCGATTCCTCGTGGTGATTAGGTTAGTAGGTAGATACTTTGTTCTATACTCTGTTCTCTGTTTTCTGTTCTCTGCATATTCATTCATCCATCCATCCACCCACAAACAAACAAACAAACCCCTCCTACCCCAAACTTCTCCCCCCAAACACCTCTCGAAAATCTAGACCTCTCTTTCCTTCCAGACTTTTCCATCACTCCCATCACTCCCATCACTCCCATCCCATCCCATCCCCCCAAACCAAGCCTTCACCATCTCCATCTCAACCCAATAGCCATAGCCCAATAAAATCCATTACCAACCAAGCCCGCCCTAATATCATCCATTGGAATTGGACTTACCTTACCTTACCGCACACATGCATTGCATTGCAGCGTGTATAGCCATTCCACCATTCCACCATAGAATATTGAAATGTATTTATCACGAGTGAGAGATTTCTACCCAGATATAAACAGACAGGTCGATCATACCCCCCCTCCCCCTCTTAGGTAGGTTTTGAGAATAATGAGATACCTACCGTAGGTAGATTGAAAAAGCGAGATATAGTGCGTGGCGAGGTATCAAAGATGGCTTTTTTTAAATAAATAAAAATTGACAGATACTCATGACTTCACATCCAATAACACTACCTAGCAACAAGACATAACAAATAAATGAACCCATTACAATTTTCATTCAGCTAGGATTGTTGAAAGACGTCCATCTAGAGTAGTGGTATTTCCCTCCTAAACGCCCACGCTACGCCCCGTTGTCAAACTATCCCATCCCAACCCATCCGTTTCAACTCTTCGCCGATTTTATGCTGCCTCTTTCAAGATACCCAACCCAATTAACTTTTCCTTCCTTTTCATCTAAGCCCTTTTTCTTTCCTCATCCCCACTGCTATACGCTGCATCTTCCTCTTCCCTATTCACTTCACTTTGTCTCCGTCTAATTTGTCCCCTCTCCTTCATCGCACCGCGAATCTTCTGACTGACCTCATCAAAACTAGCTTTGCCATCCAATGCACTGAAGCTTTTCAATGGGAACCCCGCTGACCCCACGGCACCACCACTACTGCTACTACGACTTCTACTCCTGGATGGTGGTCGAGTTGCAAATAGTGCAATGTTACCAAGATTTCCAAATGACTCGTTACGTGGAAGATGTCCATTCATACTAGAGCCGCCGCCAATAGATGCACCTGCAGTATTGCTCCGGTGAAGAACACGTGGTGGCGATTCATCCGAAATGCCCGATTGATTACTACCGCGACGTAGATCGGTTTGACGAGGTGAAGTGGGAGTCTTAGCCTCATCACGATTGAAGGGGTCAGCTACGATTCTGGAAGCATCGAAATCAGGGAACATCTCAGGGCCAAGTGTATTGATCACATCTGTAACCTGTGCGCTGAGTTGTGCTCTGCGCTCGCGTAGTTTAAAGATGACATTGCTAGAAGATGGGTTAAGAGCCACAATTAATGGTCGCAATGATTTAGCAATATCCATGCCAACTTCTCCGAATCGAAGGGCTGCAAAGGTAATAGCTGGGAAAAGAATATATCCGAAAACGAAGATAGCGTAGAGGGGTACCCATTCGGGCACATATCCTTGAACTCTGTTCTTGTAAGTCCAATATGCGAGGATGATGGTATAAAAGTTGTACAAAATCGGCGCAAAAGCAAGGGCAACCAAGAGTTTCCATGTTGCCATAACATCGCGTCCTTGAAGTTTGACCGTGGAAGCAGCCAAAGCTTCCTTCGACTTCTTGATGCTAATAATTTTGGAAGCTATGAAAACTGGTGCAAATAAGACAAGCCCTGGAATGACACCAATGGATAAGACAGCTAGTTTTCCCAGGCGATAAAATAAAAGGAATACGGCTTTTGGAACAGAAAACTTGGCATATTCGACTTGATGATCCTTAAGATTCATATAACGTAGTTGTCTGTTGTAATCCAAAACGGATTTCTTGAGTGAAACAATTCTTGGATCATCCTTGTAATGCGTATAACCCTTAACCAGTCTTCGATTTAACTCGACTACCATAGGGAGTGGAAGCTTCTTGCCAGTTGGGTTATAGAGTCTTCGAGCGGCTTGGATAAGCATGAGGGTATCGTAGTCAGGACTTGTAACAGTGACAGCAACAAGGGCTTGGTATACAATATCCAATAGTTGGCTGACTGCCCCTCTTCGGTCTCCACTTTTGTAGAGCTCGACAAGCTCTTTTGGAACTTCGATGGGATTACCAAACTCAATCACGGCTCTTGAGCGAAACTTGTGGGCATGAAAATAATTCATGCCACATGGTACAATTTGAAGACCGCTATCGGGATTTGCAGCCAAAGATCCAAGGGCCATAATAGCCACACCAGCTTTCAAGGGAAGCAATTCGGTCCTGTCGTGACTTCCACCTTCGGGGAAAATGCCAACAGCTCCACCACCCTTGAGACGATCAAAGACGGCATCATAAACCTGGGTTTGATCAACTTTCGGGGCAGTCTTATATTTTGATCCTTCAAAACCTTCGTTGGTACCCTTGACAGACTGGTCACCAAACTTGCCATTTTCGTCAATATCAGTTCGTCCAGTGAGCTGTATCATAGCATTTCGACCTTTGAAAGGTTTCTTCAATCTCATTTCCTCTGCGCTAATTACTTCCGCTATTTCGGTATTGGCTGCGGTCCCGTCCATTGTAGGTAGAACCAGTAATCCTCCAATTTGTACTTCCTTGCCGTCGAATTTTGTACCAACTCCACGAATGAGGAGCGGATCATTGATAGGGTCTGGTAGGTATATTGTACCAGATCCAGGCTTTACCATATCCAGAGCTCGTCCAACGGGAACCGCGCCCACTTTTCGTGCAAACCAGCCCACGATGAATCGACCCATAGATTTGGCGGCGATAAGAAAAGCGGCGCGACGATGGCATTCATTTCGGAGGGTGCGCATTAGAATAAGAGGGTCAACGAACTATATAAATGGGTTAATTCAAGAGTTCCAAACCTACAAAAGCCATCTGTCGCATACCTGATTTGCATGAGGGGCTGCTACGAAGATAACAGGCCCGCGCCTTGGAACTTTCCATGCTCCTCTTGGGTGGACTTCTCGAAAGAAGAGGTCGACAAGTATTGAAAACGTCCACAGGAATACATCGTATATCCAGTTTGTCATAGGA